TGTGTTGTTGATGCGAAATGTGGAGGGGAAACCCGGAAGACGCGGATACAAAATCCACGCGACCACGGGGAGAGAGCGAGACGCAAACTCCAAATACACAGCAGCAGGCGTCAGGGTCGGGTTCGAACCCACGACCTCCTGCATACCAGGCGAGGTAGTCAACATCTCCTAGCCACCGTGATGATGATGATGAGAGAGAGACACAAACTCAAAATATACAGCAGCAGGCATTGTCAGGGTCGGGATCGAACCCACGACCTCCTTGCATACCAGGCGAGGTAGTCGACATCTCCGAGCCACCGTGATGATGAGCGGGGATGGAGCTGCGTGCGTCGCGGCTCCAATGACAGGCGCGAGCGCCAACCTGGTGATGGTGGCGGTGATGATGATCACCAAGAGAGGTGATCCACTAACCCCGGGAGCCTCTCGGACCGCCGCGGACCAGCGAGTGACGATGATGATGATGAATCCGTCGATGTTTATGGATTAATTTCAACCGAGTTTGTTCGGGGTGAGCGAGCTTAACCATGATTTTTTTTTATTTTCCGTGCACACCGCACCCAGTCTACCCCTCGCTGTGGCCCTGAATGTTACGGCTCATCACGTGTCCCCCCCCCCGCCTTGACCCCCCCCCCCCGACCCCCCCCCGCCGCAGTGGAGGAGCACTGAGCGAGGAGCATCTCGGCGATTCGACGTCGCCTCGGATCGGCGATGGAAATTCCACCTTTCTATGACGGGCGCACAGCCGGACTTTCCGTAGAACACCCAAACGAGATGTAGCTGTGGTGGTGGCGGCGGTGGCAATCAGATCGGTGGTGGTGGTGGTGATGGGGCTCATGGTGGTGGGGCTGATGGTGGTGGGGGTGGTGGTGGGGGTGGTGGTGGTGATGGGGCTCATGGTGGTGGGGCTGATGGTGGTGGGGGTGGGGGTGGTGGTGGTTGTGGTTGTGGTGGGGCTGATGGTGGGGGTAGTAGTGGTGGTGGTGGTTGTGGTGGGGGTGGTGGTGTGCACCCGCAGGCTGGTGTCAGGGTGTTTGTCCGACACAATGGATGTGCACAGGGTGTGGAGCTCTTGCCGCGAGGCACCCAGCGCCCATTAATCACGGGGCGCTCTGAAAGGCGGCGGCAGCGACCCGGGCGTCCCGTGTGCGTGCGTTGCGCTTCTTTCGCACCGTACGTAGCCGACGCGTGCTCATCGGAGGCGCGGAAGTCATCGACACCTTCCCCCCTCGGGCCAAAGGGCTGTCAGCGAGCAGCACCTGCGAAGGCCGGCACGGCACACGAGGAGGGGGGGGGGGGGCAGCAACCACGCCCGGCCGCCTTTGTCTCCCTCGCAGCAGCTGGTTCAGGCTGCCGACCGGACGGAGGCCCAGGGTCGACTTAGATCATCGTCAGCGGGAATGTGCGTGGAGCCTCCGTTTCTCTGAGGCTGGAACACTCATTTCTTTAGAACTGATTTGAGTGTTTTATGTTGTTGTTGTGTTCAGTTTGTTGTCCTTTCCCCGCACCTCCGATTAGCGCGGTTGGCTACGTACGGTGCGAAAGAAGTTCAACATACACACAAACATTCTCTGGTGACACATGAAGCAAGTTTTTTTGTGAATATGACATTACATGCTCTGCTCATTTACCCAGGAAAGCGTCGGCGAGTCTCCAGTCGTCGCGTTGGGGCGATGGGTCGCGCTGCTGCTGCCGCTGTTGCTGTGATCGCGCCCGAAGTCACGGCGGCTAGGAGATGTTGATACCTCGCCTGGTACGCAGGAGGTCGTGGGGTTCAATCCCGACCCTGACGCCTGCTGCTGCTGTATATTTCGAGTTTGCGTCTCTCTCTCTCCGTGGTCGCGTGGATTTTTCACCGGCTCCTCCGCTTTTTCCCCTCCACATTTAGACTCGACATCCACACGCGCTCAGAGTGTTTGGTCGCCGCTACAAATTCCCACGCGATGACGACGACGACGATGATCGCCCACTTGGTCGGGCTATCATTTGTGATAGCCGGGTCGCTTCCGACAAAGCGCTGCGCAGCTGTTCAGTGCTGGGACACTTACCTGGGAAGATAAAAACAAACATCGGGCGATTTGCAGGGTCAGCATTGGGGATGTTTGGCCAATGCCAATCGCCCTGTGCGACGCACAACTCCCACACGGTGAAGGCGCCACGCGATGGGGGGTGGGGGTCGAACTGGGGCCCCGTTTGCTGTGAGGCCCGCGTGTCACATCTGCGCCAACCCTCGTGCAGTAGACAAAAGTCAACCTCACAACGACAACGATAATAATCGACCACGATTAATTGACAGCCACGCTGACAATCTGCTGCCCATGCCGTGTTGGTCATGGGGTTCTTTGACCATACTTCCCCGCACTGGTCAGTGCCAGTCGGGCGAGGCTGGAGGCGGGGACGGAGTTCGGGGCAGGACATTCGCTCGTGATCGCGCAGTGCGCTAACCGCTGCGCCACCGCTCCCATGCAAATCAAACTTGCGCGTTCGTCGATTTAAAAACAAACTAAAATCTCTCGCACGCTCGCCTTCTCGATCATCGCCGGGCCGTGATCTACGCACTGCTGGATGTGTCTCCGCTCCCACCACCGCTGTCGTCGTCATCCCCCCGCTGCCTCAAGCTGCAACGTCCCGTCGAGACTCGCCCCTGCCGTGGGAACGTGGAATTTCCACCACGGGCCCAGAGGCATAACAAACCGGACGTGGACGCAAACGCATCTTCGACGCGCTTTCGAACGGGGGGAGGGGGCGGGTGGATCGCTTTGTGCGCGGTTGACTTTTGAAGATTTACACTTTGGCGTCGTCGCAAGCTAAAAATATCAATGCCGTTCCTAAAAACAGAACAATGATGAGACGATCCGTGTGCGAGCCCTGACGGCGCAGGGCGATGATGGTGGTGGGGGGGGGGTGTTGAGCGCAGGGGGGGGGGGTGACTCATTCAACAGACGGAAGCACACAATGGATCCCCTCCACCTTGCAAGACGCGCGTTTATTTTGCACGTGGTCGGTGGGGTGGGGTGGATCGGGTGCAGCTGCGCCGGGAGTCTGCTTGGCTATTTGGTGACCTGTCTTGCCCACGTGCTCGTCGACGACGACGCCACGTGAGGTTTATTTTGCGTCGCGAGGTCGGCTGCCGCCGCAACGATTTCGTCTTCAAAACACACGCCGCGTTTTCTCCTCCTACTCCTTCTGCTTCTCCTTCTGTGCGTGACAGCAGCAGCAGCTACTACAACAACAGCAACAGAAACCGGTCCGGGCATGCGCACACGCAACGCCTCCCATTGGTCGCATTCTCTCGGAGAAAAAAAACTCGGAGGCCTCGGGTGTGACAGACAATTCCTTTGATCGTCTCGAGCTGCGGTCCGTATCGGCCGGCACTCTGCTGCACCACCGCTGAGCCAGTCATTGCAACCGGCATCATCAGGCGACGGACAGAGTTATAAACCCACGACAACTCTGGCTGTCGCCCGGGTGATGCTGGTTGTGAGTAGCGGCGACAGGTCGCGCTACTCGAATTGTAAATGTTGTTCTGGGTTTGCTCTCCAACGCACAATCGGTGTGTGCTGTGCTAGTAACGAATTGGCACGTTTGGTTTACGTGACGAAACTTTACTGATTGGCTGTGTAGGGTGGCGGGGCGGGTTTAATGTCGCATTTATATTTACGCGATGCAACCCAAAAAAAACTATTTTGTGGATATTGGTCGCGAAAGGCCCCTGCGTGTTAGACAGACGGACATTTCACTCCGATTGTGTTGCTGTAGACCACCGAGGCGCAACATACCAAGTGAATTTCCGGATGAAATTACTTCACCCGTTACCTAAGGTTAAATGTTGATTACAGGGGGACCTTACATCACCCGGCGAACGTATTTCTACCCAAAATTGGCTCACGTGCGGTTTCATTCACGCACATGCACCCATGCGGTCGGACGTGGGACAACGTTGTGTGTATTGTATGCGTTACTCGGCAGGCCTTGTGCTGTTTTGCTCTGTGGGCGCCACGGTAGCGAGGTGTTGACTACCTCGCCTTGTATACAGGAGGTCGTGGGTTCGATCCCAACCCTGACGCCTGCTCTACATTTGGAGTCTCTCTCTCCGTGGTCGCGTGGATTTTTCTTCGGGTCCTCCGGGTTTTCCCTCCACATTTTGAAACACACTTTGAGAGTATTTGGTGAATATACATGTCCACGTGGTAAATCGCTTCGCTGAGCTATAATTTGTGGCCAGTTCGCTTCTGAAAAAACAGGAGCCTCAGCTTAGTGGTAAAATAAAATTTAAATTGGCTAAACCTACCGCATGACGCATTCAACTTTACCAACCAGTACAATCGAAACCCACTGATTACTTCAACTACGAGACCCAATAAAAAAAAACTCAAGATGTGTCGTCCATATCCTACTCACAAATTTGCCCCAGTCCATTTTCAAAAGTGGCAGTCTTGGGTAATCATCTTTGTGACCGTGCAATTATCTTTGGCATTCATCGAACAAAGAGGACTAAAATACCTCATGAAATAATGATAAAACTATCATTTAAAAAAAATGTTGACCTTCCAGCAGGCATAAATGACGCTCTCCATTCCGACTGAGATGCGGTGAGCAAAATCACAGTTTTCGAAAGTGCTTGGACATATTTTAAGAAGCGATTCCTTAAACAATGATTGAGACACAAATGCCCTCTGTAAAAACAAAAACTGTTCAGAATAAAGGGTGATCGACCACCTTGGTTTGATGCGAACATCTGCGAATAAATTATAGCCTGGAATAATGCAAAAAATATCAAACAACCTGCCCGATTGGATTATCTATAGAACACAAAATCAAATGGACTCGTCTAGTACAAACCGCTACATTTTCATCCTCTCATCAAACTATTAGAAATTGAAAAAAAAAACACAAGACTCTACTGGCAAACCATTAAATTCACTTGAAAACAAAGGGAAGCTAAACGTTATACTAAAACGACACATACTGGATGGGAAAGAAACTGCTCACAAAACAAAACATTGCCAGCGGATTTAATTCTCGTTATGGACCGGCAGGTCACGTGTTTAACAAAACGCACCAGAGTAAAATGTCTCCAAATGCATCACCGTTCAACATCGCTCGCTTCCCTCTCTCTTGACAACCCTTAAATTGTGCCTGAGAGTCATCGTCCCAACTTCTCGTCTAGTCCCATAACTGCACTGGACCTACTGCGTACGCTCGCATCAATCAAGACATCGTCATGGACGGGGAGAAGACGAGTTGCCTGACATTTGCACTTGCGTTTGTGGCGGATCTCAGAGCCCTCTCACGCATTGTCAGTGAGAGAGTTGGTGTCGATGGTGCAACTTCTACCTCATGTGGCCTTGAGGACATCCTTGAAGCCCTTTCTCTGCACTCCTCTTGAACGCGCACAGCCCGACTAAGCTGGGGGAGTCGATGGCGTTTTGCTTCGGGAGAGAGGACGCTGATGTTAGTGCGTCTGTCTTCCCACCGGACTTTAAGGATCTTCCGCAGGCAGTGTTGATGGTACCTCTCGAGGTGCTTTGGGATGTCCCCTGTGGTGTTCTCCACGTCTCAGCTTCGTGCAGTAAGGTAGAGATTACGACCCGCTTGATAAACCGCGATCTTAGTTTTTGGACCTGATGTCACGAACCTCAAACACCCTTTTCCTCAGCCCGCCGAAACCTCCACTTGCACCATTTCAGGCGAGTTTGGATTTCTTTGACGACGTCAGCATTCTGTGAAAGAAGGCTTCCGACGCATGGGAAATGCTCAACAATTTCCAGTCTCGCCGTGGATGTCAATTGTTGGAGCTGGGGACTGCTCATTGAGAACTGGTTGATGGAGAACCTGAGTCTTTACAATATTAAGCGTCAGTCCCATTCTCTCATATGCCCCAGTAACAGCTTTGACTATTGCCTGAAGATCCGCTTCTGAGTGGACACACTACAGCATCGTCAGCATACTGGAGCTCAACAACTGCTTTCGGGATGGTCTTAGATTTAACTCTAAATATACAACAGGCGTCAGAGTCGGGATCGAGCCCACGACCTCCTGCATAGCAGGCGCGGGAGATAACATCTCCTGGCCACCGCGGCGCAGAGGAGTCCACGCTGAGAGCCATCACGAAGCCCGCCGGCTGGCGAAGCTGCAACCAAACAGGAGCCACAGGAAAGCTCCCGTCTGGAAAGCCCCTGTCTGGAAAGCTCCTGTCTACGCGTCGGGTACGAACTCACGCCGGCCGAGTTGGCCAGCTGCTCAGCTGCAAGGTTGGCTCGAGCCGTGATGAGGGCGAGGAGGAGGCGTCGTTGTTGTTATCTGTGGGAGTTGGAGAGTTTACCCCCCCAGCCCAGGGGCATCGCAGCGTGACGTCTCACGACTCAGCCCCGCGAACACCCACGCGGGGACTTTACCTGAAACGTAATTCCTTGACGGTGTTATTGTTGAACGTCGTTCCTCAGTTCAACGATGTCGACGACAACAATAACATCAACAACGACAAATGCCCGTGCACCGGGAGAACCCGAGCTCTCCGAGGAGAACATCCATTTATTAAAAGCTTGGCCGCGCCGGGGGAAAGCGAGGAACGCTGAACTGCACTCGTGAAGCCAACAAGATTACATTGCAATTCTCGGGCTGCGGTTGCGGAGGTGGCAGCCGCATTGTCAGACGGCACGGAAGGGGTCCTTCGGGGTGAACACTGTCCCGAGCGGCTTGAATTGAACTTGGGCCACGGAATCCACATTGTCTGCGTCGTAGATGGAACCCGACACCGCGGCCAGACGAGCCCCCACGTCAACACGGGATCAGCGAACGCAAAAACATCGGCGAGGAGGACGTCGTTCACGGGAAGGAGTTGGGAGGGGGAGGGCGGGGGATTTACGATCGGCACTTATTGACGCAGCTGCTAGGGGATTCAGATGGAGACGTCACCTCGGGCTAAGCCGGCAATGCCGCCACCGCCGCCACCAACATCACCAGTGCCACCACCACCACCAGTGCCACCACCACCTGTGCCACCACCACCAGTGCCACCACTGCCACCAGCGCCACCACCACCACCAGTGCCACCACTGCCACCACACATCGTTACCGTCCACGTCCCACCCATCGCCAGACCCCACGGCTGCTGCACAGGAGATACGCGGCGACCTCCAAGGTCTGCCCTGACAGCCTCGTCCCACGCAGAGACCCATAGACTCACACAGAGACCCATAGACGCACACAGAGATTCATAGACTCACACAGAGACCCATAAACTCACACAGAGATTCATAGACTCACACAGAGACCCATAGACTCACACAGAGATTCATAGACTCACACAAAGACCCATAGACTCACACAAAGATTCATAGACTCACACAGAGACCCATAGACTCACACAGAGATTCATAGACTCATACAGAGACCCATAGACTCACATAGAGATTGTGATGCCACAGCGGCGAAGCCGCTCTGACGACGCCCCACCTAAGATCCCACCACCAACAAGCGGCCTGGCCGACGCTGCTCTTCCCTCACCACCCCCCACATGAACACCCGCACCCACCCCCACATAGAGCCTCGCGGGGAAGTCGCCTGGCCCACATGTTTTCACCCAGGAGCCCTCCTCGTGGGGGGGCATTCTCCACGGTTTCCTAGGGCCAGGGAATTGGCCGAGGCTTCCCCAGGCTCAATTGCGCTGCGGCGCCGTGAATCAACGTGGAATTACACGCTCACGATGAGGCTACTCAGCCCCCACGGTAGACCTTGGCAAGGTAAGGTAAAAGTTAAAAGGTAAAAACAACGAGCCTACTTTTACCCTTACCCCATACAAATGACCCGATTACAGGGTAATTACTAGGGTACTACGACACATGAACAAGGTTTATAACGGTAAGTGCTAGGTAGAGCGCTTTATACATAAAGAATACTCTTGATGATTCTAATTTTACACGCTTGTCGTTGTTGTCGTTGTTGTCATTGTTGTCGTTGTTGTCGTTGTCATTGTCGTCTCCTCAAATCTTGTAACTCAAATTTAACCCACTTCCCAATGTGGTATCGACTGCAAACCTGGTATACTTATGTCATACTGATGACAATATATTCTATCATAAAAAAAATATTTTTAAACATTATTTTATATATGTTATGTTTTGGCTTGGGTCTAATTGTCCAGCCTCAACTGACGTTGGCTGTAATTGGCCACGGATTTACGATCGGCACTTATTGACGCAGCTGCTAGGGGATTCAGATGGAGACGTCACCTCGGGCTAAGCCGGCAATGCCGCCACCGCCGCCACCAACATCACCAGTGCCACCACCACCACCAGTGCCACCACCACCTGTGCCACCACCACCAGTGCCACCACTGCCACCAGCGCCACCACCACCACCAGTGCCACCACTGCCACCACACATCGTTACCGTCCACGTCCCACCCATCGCCAGACCCCACGGCTGCTGCACAGGAGATACGCGGCGACCTCCAAGGTCTGCCCTGACAGCCTCGTCCCACGCAGAGACCCATAGACTCACACAGAGACCCATAGACGCACACAGAGATTCATAGACTCACACAGAGACCCATAAACTCACACAGAGATTCATAGACTCACACAGAGACCCATAGACTCACACAGAGATTCATAGACTCACACAAAGACCCATAGACTCACACAAAGATTCATAGACTCACACAGAGACCCATAGACTCACACAGAGATTCATAGACTCATACAGAGACCCATAGACTCACATAGAGATTGTGATGCCACAGCGGCGAAGCCGCTCTGACGACGCCCCACCTAAGATCCCACCACCAACAAGCGGCCTGGCCGACGCTGCTCTTCCCTCACCACCCCCCACATGAACACCCGCACCCACCCCCACATAGAGCCTCGCGGGGAAGTCGCCTGGCCCACATGTTTTCACCCAGGAGCCCTCCTCGTGGGGGGGCATTCTCCACGGTTTCCTAGGGCCAGGGAATTGGCCGAGGCTTCCCCAGGCTCAATTGCGCTGCGGCGCCGTGAATCAACGTGGAATTACACGCTCACGATGAGGCTACTCAGCCCCCACGGTAGACCTTGGCAAGGTAAGGTAAAAGTTAAAAGGTAAAAACAACGAGCCTACTTTTACCCTTACCCCATACAAATGACCCGATTACAGGGTAATTACTAGGGTACTACGACACATGAACAAGGTTTATAACGGTAAGTGCTAGGTAGAGCGCTTTATACATAAAGAATACTCTTGATGATTCTAATTGTACACGCTTGTCGTTGTTGTCGTTGTTGTCATTGTTGTCGTTGTTGTCGTTGTCATTGTCGTCTCCTCAAATCTTGTAACTCAAATTTAACCCACTTCCCAATGTGGTATCGACTGCAAACCTGGTATACTTATGTCATACTGATGACAATATATTCTATCATAAAAAAAATATTTTTAAACATTATTTTATATATGTTATGTTTTGGCTTGGGTCTAATTGTCCAGCCTCAACTGACGTTGGCTGTAATTGGCCACGGTCCCTTACGTTGTGGCAAGCCTCGGGGCCACTTCCTGGAGTCGTGGAGTTCTGCCATTACTCGTACATTTAATAAAAGCGTTTTTTAAAAAAAGTTATTTTAAATATTACTTGTTAAATGGAGGCCACGGACTGCGCCACAGAGTGTTTAGCGGTAAACAAGGTACCGTGTTTACCTGGTAATACTTCGCGCTACCTATACCCAACCGGGTAATTCTTCCGAGCTGCCTTTACCCTACTCTTCACCTTACCCCTTGGCATGTCGACCACTTTACCCTTTACCCTTTTACCCGGTAAAAAGGGTAAATTACCTTGCCTTGCCGAGGCCTACCCCGCGGTTGAGACACACACAACACACACGGGTTAGCAGGCAGGTAGGGGGCGGAGCCACGAATGGCGGGAAACCAGGGCAGGCACTCTGATTGGTCGGGAGATTAGCGGCAGTCCCCTTGATGTGGAAGCCTGGATGCGGACGGCGCTAAGAGCACCGGTCCGAATAACGCTATAGTACAAACGAGCAATCTGATTGGCCGGGAAGGCCATCGGATCAGCGACGACCTTCCTTTGATGTAAAGAACAATAAAAGGCGAGGAAAGGTAGAGATAGAGTGAGTTCGTGTCCGGCACAAGTCGGCAATCGGCCGACTCTCCAGCCACTCGAACGTCCGTGTGCCGAGTCGCAGTGCAGCGAGGACTGGCCCGCAGGAGCTCCGTACGGATCGAACTGTGAGTACGAGAGAGAAGTAGAGAACGGCGCGGTAATTCCTAGAGAGGATAAATCGAAAATGGCGGGAAAAATTGGGTTTAGACCCCGTGGAACAGGTTAATTGCCCACTGATTTCGGCTTCAGGCTCCGGGATACTTAGTATGAGGCACGCCGGGAATAAACGATTAGTAATCCATAAACAGTTTTGTGTGGTTTCTGAGAGTGTGGGGAGAGCGGGTGGTGGCGTGTGTACGTTCTTCAGGACGCGAAGATTGGCACGTGCCGAACTATATCGGGGCGACCATCGGGCAAGGGTCTGACGCGCACATTTGCCGAGTTTGCGCGTGAATCCTGTCGCCAGCATTCATCATTGCGTAGAAGAGCCGGGGGACGATTAAACCATTTATTAAATGCCCAAGGGTACAGTAATACTCGTTCTAAAACCAACCCTGAATACCCACCCCACAGCCCTTTAAATCTCCATTACCCACCCACAGCAGCAACGCGTTTGCGAGTGACGTCATTGCCCTTTGACCCCTGACCCCCTATTCCGCGCGTGCAATTGGTGCGTCGCTCTAAAACCAACCCCGAGTGCCCGCCCCACAGCCCTTTAAACAATCTCCATTACCCACCCTCGGTGGCAATGCGTGTGCGAGTGACGCCATTGCCTTTTGACCCCTGACCCCCCGTTCCGTGCATGTGATTGGTGCGCGGGGTTGTGAGAGCGGAGACGTCGCATTTGAGTGGCTGAGAAGCGACTGATTGATTCCAGGCAGCCGAGTGCCAGCCCCGAGCTATGCCTCACAGACAGGACTCGGGGTCGCGGACTCGAGGGCCGCGGTGCGGGGAGAGGAGCCGGAGAGCGGCAGCCCCCCCCCCCCCCCCCCCCCGTGAACGAGGAGTCGAGCAGCGGCGGCTCACACACGAGTGAGGAGTCAGGAGACAGCAGCCCTCCCGAGATCAACCCTCCCCCGGGGGGGAGCCGGGGGCCCGCGTCCCCCACAAGACCTTTAGACTCACACAGAGACCCATAGACTCACACAGAGACCCATAGACTCACACAGAGACCCATCAACTCACCAGAGACCCCTGGACTCACTGAGAGACCCATAGACTCACAAAATGACCCATAGACCTGAACAGAGACCCCATAGACTCACTGTGACACAGGGTGTTAGGTAAGAGTCGGAGAGAAGCCCACCATTAATTATCCCAACTTAACAACTCTGCTGGATTGCCGATGACTCTTGAACGAGTGGTGCGGCCCGCTCTGGCTCGCTAGTGAGCGGGTCACGTGCTCGTGACTACGGTCACGTGACCGGGTCACGGGCTCGAGTGACACGTGCTTGTGAACGACGCGAACCGGCGCCGTGCATCGCCTCCCCGCTTGGATGCGGCAGGCGGTGAGCCGCGCGTGTGAAGGTCCCGTGGACTGCTGCCAATCGCGCGGCGGCGTAGAATGCCAACGTGCTCCCGCAGAGTGAGCTGTGGGAGTCGCTGCGAAGTGGTTGTCGTTCTTCGGGGGGGTGTGGGGGGGTTTGTGGCAGCCTGCAGAGGGTGGATCCATCAGTGGTGGACGACCGGGATCGTGATGTTGATGGTCCTCCTCTGCCGAGGAAGCGGAGGGCCCTGGGAGCACTGGGGCTTGGGAGATGAGGGCTTGGCTTCGGCCTGTGGCTGAGGGGAGTGGATCTTGGGCTGGTGGTCATTCTGATGTGACTGAGGCATTGGCCCTGGGTGAGTCTGGGTGAGTTGTATGAAGTGTTGCTGAGGAGATAGACTCAAGATCTGGTGGTCATTCTGAGGAGACTGAGGCTTGGGCTCTGGGTGAGTCTGAGTGAGCTGGATGAAGTGTTGCTGAGGAGATAGACTCAAGATCTGGTGGTCATTCTGAGGAGACTGAGGCTTGGGCTCTGGGTGAGTCTGGGTGAGCTGCATGAAGTGTTGCTGAGGAGATAGACTCAAGATCTGGTGGTCATTCTGAGGAGATTGAGGCTTCGGCTCTGGGTGAGTCTGAGTGAGCTGGATGAAGTGTTGCTGAGGAGATAGACTCAAGATCTGGTGGTCATTCTGAGGAGACTGAGGCTTGGGCTCTGGGTGTCTCTGAGTGAGCTGGATGAAGTGTTGCTGAGGAGATAGACTCAAGATTTCGTGGTCATTCTGAGGAGACTGAGGCTTGGGCCCTGGGTGAGTCTGCGTCTGCTGTATGAAGCGTTGCTGAGGAGAGACACTCAAGATCTGGTGGTCATTATGAGGAGACTGAGGCTTGGGCCCTGGGCGAGTCTGCGTCTGCTGTATGAAGCGTTGCTGAGGAGAGACACTCAAGATCTGGTGGTCATTCTGAGGAGACTGAGGCTTGGGCCCTGGGTGTCTCTGAGTGAGCTGTATGAAGTGTTGCTGAGGAGATAGACTCAAGATCTGGTGGTCATTCTGAGGAGACTGAGGCTTTGGCCCTGGATGAGTCTGCGTCTGCTGTATGAAGCGATGCTGAGGAGAGGCACTCAAGATCTGATGGTCATTCTGAGGAGACTGAGGCTTGGGTTCTGGATGAGTCTGCGTCTGCTGTATGAAGCGATGCTGAGGAGAGGCACTCAAGATCTGATGGTCATTCTGAGGAGACTGAGGCTTGGGCTCTGGGTGTCTCTGAGTTAGCTGTATGAAGTGTTGCTGAGGAAATAGATTCAAGATCTGGTGGTCATTCTGAGGAGACTGAGGCTTGGGCTGGTGGTGATTCCGAGTCAGCTGTATGAAGCGTTGCTGAGGAGAGTGGACCAGCGGAGAGAGGTTCCTGGGCTGGTTTTGACTCTCAGGAGGCCGCGGTTTGTGCTCCTGGTAGTGACATGGAAAGGCCTGGGCAGGAGGCCGCGGGTTGTGCTCCTGGTTGTGACATGGAAAGGCCTGGGCAGGAGGCCGCGGCTGTTCAGCAGACAAGTGAAACAGCGGCTGTGGAGAGCGGTTCTTGTTGTCGTGTGGGCCGTCAGCCTCTTGAGCCTGGGCCTTGGCCTGCTGCTGCTCCTGCTGCTGCTGCTGCTTCGGCTGCTGATGTTGAGGTTGAGGTCGCTGTGGGAGGTGGACTCGGAGAGGATGGAGCTTCGCAAAACTCTGCGGCCTGGTGGACGGAGGCTTCTGCTGCTGCAATTGAGGAGTATGTGGAAGAGGAGCCGACGGTGGGGGAGTGGTGACAATCTTCGCAAGAAAATTCTGGGGCTGAGGAGCCCACGGCTGCTGCTGATTCTTCTGAATGTGCGGCGCGGGCGGTGGTTGTGGCGGTCGGGATTTGGGTGGCAGATGCAGCGGTGGCGGCGGGGTTAGCGGTATCGTCACCGCGGCAGAGGCACCATTAGCACCACCACCACCGCCGCCGCCATCATCGTCGTCGTTCTGGCAAGAAGGCCGCATGCCGGGCCGTGCGTGCGCGGCGCTCTCGCCCCCTCGTCGTCGATCGTCGTCGTCGTCGCCACCGCAACTGCCACCACGCCGGTCATCATCATCGAGGCTCGCGCCGGCGAGTCGCACGCCCCTCAGCAGCATCTCCACCCTCCGCTTCAGCCGCTTCTGATCCTCGAGGGCGCAGCCGATGACGGTCGCCTGGAACTTGTGGTCGACAGCGCCGGCACTCGGCTCGGAGGAGCAGGCGTTGCGGAAGGAGAGAAGGCGACACGCGGCGGCGTCCGCGGCGGCGGTGGTGCCGGGGTCATCGCCGTCACCAGCGCCTTGCAGCTGCTCCGCCACGCCGTCCACGAGCGCTGTGGCGCGCCGCAGCGCTTCCCGCTGCGCCGCGCTGCGCACCGTCTCCAGCGACACAGCCACGCTGAGCGTGCGCGACAGCAGGCGCTCGGCTGTCATGGCGAGCTCCTCTTTCTCGCCTGGCTCGCGGGGAAGACACGGAGTAGATGTGGGGACGCGGGAGAGACACGGAGTAGACGTGGGCACAGGGGAAACACGGAGTAGATGTGGGGACGCGGGAGAGACACGGAGTAGACGTGGGCACAGGGGAAACACGGAGTAGATGTGGGGACGCAGGGGAGACACGGAGTAGATGTGGGCACAGGCGCCGTGGTGATGTCACCACTAGGCCTCGGCAAGGAAAGGTAATTTACCCTTTTTACTGGGTAAAAGGGTAAAGGTAAAGGGTAAAGTGGTCGACATGCCAAGGGGTAAGGTAAAGAGAAGGGTAAAGGGAGCTCGGAAGAATTACCCGGTAGGGTAAAGGTAGCGCGAAGTATTACCCGGTAAACACGGTACCTTGTTTACCGCTAAAAGCTCTGTGGCGCAGTCCGTGGCCTCCATTTAATAAGTAAAAAAAAATTAACACGCTTTTATTAAATGTACTAGTAATGGCAGAACTCCACGACTCCAGGAAGTGGCCCCGAGGCTTGCCATAACGTAAGGGACCGTGGCCAATTACAGCCAACGTGAGTTGACCGAGGACAATTAGACCCAAGCCAAAACATAACATATAAAAATAATGTTTAAAAATGTTTTTTTTATGATAGAATATATTGTCATCAGTATGACATAAGTATACCAGGTTTTGCAGTCGATACCACATTGGGAAGTGGGTTAAAATTGAGTTACAAGATTTGAGGATACGATGACGACGACAACGACAATAACGGCAACAACGACAACAACAACAGACTGAGTTAAAAGAAAGCGCTCTACCTAGCATTTACCGTTATAAACCTTTTTCCTGTGTAGTATCCCAGTAATTACCCTGTAATCGGGTAATTTGTATGGGGTAAGGGTAAACGGTAGGGTAAAATGTAGGCTCGTTTCTTTTTACCTTTTACCTTACCTGCTGAAGGGTAAAAGGTAGGGTAGAGTGATTGTATTGTGGTAAGGTAAAAGGTAGGGTAAAGGTAGGCTCGTTGTTTTTAGCTTTTAACTTTTACCTTACCTTGCCGAGGCCTAGTCACTCACCGCCACGTAGTGGCGAATGGTGGCTGTTGTTGTGGCAGTTGGCGCTGTGCTACGACCCCGGCGACATGAGTTCGATTCCCGCTCACGGCCAACACCAGTGTCGATTACCGGTCCTGGGCCTCCCCAAGGTCGACTCAGCCTCAAATGAGTACCCGGTGCAGTGTGTAAACATCGCTACCGGGGAGACAAAGGCGGCCTGGCGTGGTATTGGCCACCCACTCTCTCGGCGTGTGCCGAACCAGCCTTCACAGGTCCTGATACTCGCTACTTACAACACTTGCCCCAACAGCCTTGTTAAGGATACACGGTGGTGGGGGGTGGGTTCTCTGTCTCACCCTCACTGATCCTCCACATGTCACGGCTGGATCGAGCCTCCTGGATCAGCTCCACCAGCGCCTCCTTCTCCTGCTCCATGGCGTAGGCCTGGTCACGGAGTGCCTCCACCCTGCGACACGCGCGCCAGCCACGATAGAGAGCACAGTCAGCGGCGGAGACGTCGGCACCGCGGCGAGCGGTGGCCCGCTGTGGGGCCCGGGTTCGAGTCCTGGGCCCAGCGGCAGCCTGGCCACCGTCTTTAAACAACCGGGTTCCCAAGTGCAGGGAGTTGATGGTCTGGTCTCTTGGTTATTCAAAAACAACGCCAGCGCCGCAGCCATGTGAACCCTTTTCCCGTTCTGAGACTTCTGCAAGTTGCAGGGTGGTCAGTGTCCCATTCGCCGCTGAATCTCGGATCTTGTGTACTGTACTGAATCGGACCTGGATCTTGTGTTTGTCTAGAATTTTGGAAATATTTTTGGTAGCGCCTGCTATGTATGGCAACGTAATGATTTTGATGGCTCTTTGGGACATTCTGTATACAGGAAGGCCACCCATACAGATTCCTACATGAAGCATGATTCCCACCACCATCCGGCACAAAAGAATTCCCTCATCAAAACACTACACCATAGGGCCCACTGCATCTCTGACCAACACCACCTGGCCAGTGAATTGGAACATGTACATCTGGCCCTCAGGATGAACGGATACTCGGACCGTGCTATACACCAAGCTGTTTCTCCCACCGTGGAGAAACAACCCCCTGAGACTCTGGCTTAACTCAGCTTAGCATCCGCCCCCCCCCCCCGACTCCACACGGCACCCCCCCCTACCTTGGCTCCCCCCCCCCCCTCTTACCCTATATAGTCGCGTTTTTCTATTCGCTCTCTTCAATTACTACAGTCAATTTGGCTGTAACGGTTCCACCTGAAGACGGAAGCTTGTGTTGCCTCCTAAACGTCGTGATTTAATAGAGTAGTTTTTACATATTTATTTATTACCTACGTGACTTTACCGAAAAAACCAAAGAGTATGAATCCTTGCAGTCACGAAAACTTCAAATATAGACGTACATGTACGTCATCGGAATGCGAAAGGGTTAAACCAGCTTCCTCACCGAGTGTTTGTTCGAATTCCGGCGAGAGTATTCAAATATAGTCACGGGGCGTCCGCTGATTAAATGCCATGGGGAGGAGTTTTCAGGATTATTTTGTGCCGCTGTTGTCCCAACACTCAGAGGGACGCAGCGCAGACACGGCCGTGAGGCCAGATTTCCGAATGTATTCCTCCTCCCTCCTCCTCCGTCCTCCCCCACCTTCCTCCCCTCCCTACCAACCGTGACTCGGTGCCAAATGCACACCCCCGGGTTAGCTTTGGATAGCGATGGGCGGTCAGTGGGCGGCTGTAGTAGAAAGATCAAAACCGCATTTGTTTTGAATCGTCGATTCACCCCGACAGCGCAAGGTGCGATGACAATCGAGGCGTCGCCTACAGCTGTACATTCCATCTCGTGCGGCTTGTGTTGGCCGTGCTTTGTGGGTCGCACTTTCATCTGGAAGGACAATTTGCAAACTTGAAGCAATTATCTCCCGTGATGACCCCCGTGGTGACGCTTCTGAAGTTCAAAGCGAAAATCACCGCTCCCAGCGCCACGTGGGCCTAACTGTGTTGGTCACTGTGTTGGTCACTCTCATTCACTGTGTCAGTCACTGTGTGAGGCACCCATCTATCAGTTTGAGACAACACCCTCTGATACCTCCATTGACTTCAAAGCCCATTTCTCTCCCCCCCCCCCCCCGTCTCTATGTGTCTCTGTGTATCTCTATGGGTCACTGTGTATCTCTATGGGCCTCTGTGTATCTCTATGGGTCTTTGTGTATCTCTATGGGTCTCTGTGTATCTCTATGGGTCTATGTGTATCTCTATGGGTCTCTGTGTATCTCTATGGGTCTCTGTGTATCTCTATGGGCCTCTGTGTATATCTATGGGTCTCTGTGTATCTCTATGGGATTCTGTATATCTCCACGAGTTTCCATGCGTCTCTGGGGGGGGGGGGGAGTTCCACTATCACGGCCCACAACGTGAGTTCGCATTGAGCCACACTCAGCAGTGGATAGATCACGGCTGGCGATGGTGGCGGCCACGTCCGGGAGATTCCGCGGCCGCTCGATGCGCACGCAGACACCGCGCCCTGCTGCGAGGCGCGTGGCCACGCGGCCCTCTGCCGGCCCCGTGCCGGCCCCTCTACCGGCCCCTCTACCAGCCCCTCTACCAGCCCCTCTACCAGCCCCTCTGTACATCAGGGACGTGCGGTCAGGGGAGGCAGGGGAGGCAGAGCCTCGCCTGTCATACTCCAATGAAAATAGCTGTTACGAAAAGTAAAAAAAAGAAGAATCAAATTAAATAAATATTAAGATTTTTCCACTGATCTGTGTTATAAATGTCATTGCTGTACGATTCCAATAATTTTATAGTCAAAATCGCCAAATTTGCGGAGCTCCGCTGCAAATACAGGAAGAGACGAGAGGTGAGGCAGCGACGAGCTCAGCCTCCCCTCTGATTGCGCAACCCCTCAGTAACTGGATGGAGCGCGGGCAATAAGCGCGTGCCTGTGACTATCTCAGTATGTTACCAATGTAATGTTTGTAGACCCCTTCATTTCAAGTCCTCGCCTTCCATACTCCAGGCAACTTATTTCACGTATGTGTATAAAGATATTTAGGCTCGCTGGTCTCGTCATGAAACTGCAATGAAAAAGCACCAGGGGAGGCAGCTATCACATCTGCCTCACTGAGGGGGACGTGTCTAACACGCCCCCCTCAGCGAGGACACGCCCCCCTCGGTGTGTGAATCTGGCTCTGACACGAGCCAGTGCCTCCCCAGCCATTGACCTCTCCGCACGCCACTGATCTGCACAGAGGCCCCTCTGCGGGCCTCTGTGCCGGTCCGTGTGCGAGGGTGGTCGTCACCAGCCATGACCAACCCACTGCTGGATGAAGGCCTCCCCGAGTGGGTTGCTGTTGACGTGATGCGTCAAGAATTCTCCCAGCTCGGAGTCGCTTTGGAGAGGCAGCGAGACATTGCGGGGATGAATTTTCTCTCTCCGTGCTCTGCGGGACAACGCTGACCCGGCCGTGCTTGGGAGTTACGGATTGTCGGCGTAAGGCACTACCACTAGGAGCACACGGTGCGCCTATCCACAGTCAAGGCCCCTCTCTCGAACCCAGTGGTTCTTCACCTCGACTGTGGCCTTCCAGCCCCTTTGGTTCGTGAAAAAATGATGTCAATAAATAAGCAGGGGTTTGATGAAACAAATTTGTACTCGCCTGCCCGCCCGTGCTTAATTTGTGTTCTCGGTTGTTTACCTTCTGCAATGAATCTGTCCCGAAAGGGCACCTCGCCAACCCCAGAGGGGGGGGGGGGCGTTGCAATAACCACTGCTCGAGACGATGTTACCCCGGTTACCCCCCCTCCCCCCCCAGTGAACACGTTCATAGGCGGGAGGCGAGACAGAGCGGAGGAGTTCGGGGGGGGCGGCTACTCCACTCGAAATCAAACACCGCCCTCCAGCCCGCGCCTCCAGTTTTAGAAGCCTTCGAAGTCCTCCAGGACCGGACCACACCTCGGCACCCCCGCAGAGGGAAGCGCGGCGTAGCACCAGCAGCAGCAGCAGCAGTCCCCACCCCCGTGGGGGGCTATTTTAGTCTCGCTCAGTGTTGTCCACGTGGGTGTGGTGATGCGGCTTGGACGCACAACTGTCATGTAGCAACAACAAAGGGCATTGATCACCACCATCACCACCCATCCCGCCCGCCGAGCCTGTGACAGACTGGTGGGGCCAAGCGCTGTGAGCGCGTAGCCAGCACCACTGTGGCACACGAGGGGCTGCGGTGGCCATTACCACGCCCGACCGCCTTTGTCTCCCCCGTGGCGATGTTTACACACCTCACTGGGTTCTCCGCTCGCTACTGCTGCTACTGCTACTACTGCTGCTGCTACTACTGCTGCTGCTACTACTATACTGCTGCTACTACTGCTGCTACTACTGCTGCTACTACTCCTGCTACTGCTGCTATTACTGATACTGCTGCTGCTGCTACTGATACTGCTGCTACTGCTGCTACTACTGATACTGCTGCTGCTACTGCTGCTACTACTACTGCTGCTGCTACTGCTGCTGCTACTACTACTGCTGCTGCTACTGCTGCTACTACTGCTGCTGCTACTGCTGCTACTAATACTACTGCTGCTACTACTACTGCTGGTACTACTACTGCTACTACTGCTACTACTACTGCTGCTACTGCTGCTGCTACTGCTGCTACTACTGCTGCTACTGCTGCTACTGCTACTACTACTGCTGCTACTACTGCTGCTACTGCTGCTACTACTACTGCTGCTACTGCTGCTGCTGCTACTACTACTGCTGCTGCTACTGCAGCTGCTACTACTACTGCTGCTGTTACTGCTACTACTGCTGCTACTACTACTGCTGCTACTGCTGCTGCTACTGCTACTACTACTGCTGCTACTACTGCTGCTGCTGCTGCTACTACTACTG